TACTGCACCGCGCCCAGTGGCCAGTGGCCTATGCTGGGCTGGAGGAGGAACATAGTCATCACTGGACAGTTGCTGTTGGTAGGGCAACCCAGAGGCATGGCGGTGGGAAGTTGCTGCTGCTGCACCGCCGATAGTTTGGGGATTTCCGGCACCGCTGCCACTGGCACTGGCACTGCCACCACTGCCACCCGGTGCTTCATGTAAGACACGACGGCGCATTTGTGCAATTCTCTGCTCATTCTTCAGCTCCTCAACTTCAGCCTACAACATACATTATGGTATATGGCACACACAACAAATACAGTACACGTCAACAACAACAACATCACACAACAACATCAACAACAACAACAACAACAACAACAACAACAACAACAACAACAACAACAACAACAACAACAACAACAACAACAACAACAACAACAACAACAACAACAACAACAACAACAACAACAACAACAACAACATCATACAATAATAGCATCTGCCCCCAACAGTATCGCGCAGAAACGACATGCCGTAGCAACGCCATGCTATGGTATCGGCATCCTATAGCAATAGTTCCCGTAGCAACCCCGTCCCACAGGAGTGGCATCCTAGTAGCAATGTTTCCAATAGCAACAGAGCGTCCTGCAGCAACAAAAGTCAGGGTCACGTTGACAATCACGGTCCCTGCAACAAGTCAGGACCCTGTATGCAACACGGTCCCTGCAAGAAGTCAGGGCTCTGTGAGAAGCCAAGAACCCGTAAGCAGTCAGTGGCCTGTGAGCAGTCAAAGGGCTTGTAACCAGTTACACAGTCATGACAGCATCGTGACCAGTCATGACAGCATCGTGACCAGTCATGACAGCATCGTGACCAGTCATGACAGCATCGTGACCAGTCATGACAGCATCGTGACCAGTCATGACAGCATCGTGACCAGTCATGACAGCATCGTGACCAGTCATGACAGCATCGTGACCAGTCATGACAGCATCGTGACCAGTCACAAAACACAACAACAGATTACTAGTATCCACTGTGCTCTATGACCAAGACCCAAGACCCAAGACCCAAGACCCAAGACCCAAGACCCAAGACCCAAGACCCAAGACCAGGCACCAGAACTCAGTTTGCAGTGAATTCAATATACTGCACACTTTAGTCAGTAATATCACATTGCTTATTTCAGACAGCAAAATCACGTCATTGCTTATTTCAGTCAGTAAAATCACATATCACATTGCTTATTTCAGTCAGTAAAATCACATTGCTTATTTCAGTCAGTAATATCACACTGCTTATTTCAGTCAGTGAAATCACATTGCTTATTTCAGTCAGTGAAATCACATTGCTTATTTCAGTCAGTAATATCACACTGCTTATTTCAGTCAGTAATATCACATTGCTTATTTCAGTCAGTGATATCACTTCTACAAAGTCAACAGCCACCTAGAGAAGATACCTAGTACAAGACGACAAGGACTGTCGTTTCAAGTGACTTGACAAATACGGAACGCCGCATCTCATCTCCTCTCAATCAACAAAACAGAAGAACTTGACGCACCTCACAACATAATATGTTTGCAGAAATATGTTGGAGGCGTACTTTTGAGGCAAAGAAAGAAACAGTACGTTATCAAAATCAAATTGAACTCACACAAGAGAGATGCAATCATCCTAGAACAATACCACTCCATGTAGCACTCTGGGCAACAGCATCATTGTGGCGATTATTCAATTCCTTTCTGCACATGTTTTCTCAAGAAATGGAACCTTGGTTAATGTCCAGAGCTGATTCGTTTCCACACCTGTCTCCATGTTGCCTTGGTCGGCATTCCGACGACATGTTCACTCTAGAATACTCCCCAATGATCTTGCTGACATTACAGTCTATTAGACCAAAATGCCCACTAAGAAACGGCTCCACACTGACTTCTCTAACTGTTGCGATTGACTTTCACCGAGGCAGGAAGGGATCGTCAACACATACAAACACCCCTCCCCCCCCCCTCCACACACACACAAACACATACATACACACATACACACAAACACCCCCCCCCCCCACACACACACACACATACACACATACACACAAACACCCCCCCCCCCCCCACACACACACACACACACCTCACTCCCACATACACACACACAAAACTTGAGCTTTCAGCTTGAATCTCCATCGTTTGGAGTAAATCGAAACCTGTTGGATTAGAACCTTACCAGGAGTTGATTAGTCTGCTTGCGCAGATGCTCGCAATCGTGTGCCAACGTGTCTTTTTCTCGGCTCATACGAACGTTCTCGAGGCGTATTCTCTCTTTCGATCTGTTCTCCTCTTCATAATCTTCACGGTGCGCTTGGGCCTGTACACACCCACAGGTAGACATTCACATGTAGACATTCACAGATAGACATTCACATAATCATTCACATAATCATTCACATGTGCATTTACCCACATGAAGACACCCACATAATCATTCACATGTATACACCCACATGTATACATTCACATGTACATTTACCCACATGAAGACACCCACATAATGATTCACATGTGCATTTACCCACATGAAGACACCCACATAATGATTCACATGAATACACCCACAGGTAGAATTAGATCAGGTCCCACAGCTGCCAAACGGGTGCTCGCCATGCTCACCATCAAAGATGGAGCAACGACCCACCTAAGCAGTGGACAACCGAGAAATTCGGTGTCTGCGTTTGTGGCGTATTGTGTTCATGTTCGTATTCAATTTTTTGTCCATTTTGTTTTCTGCGTCCACTTCTGCTGCTGCTTACTCTCTTGTCATTTTGTTTTCATTGTTTTTGGGAACACAGCCCCATGCTGTGTGATCAGTCGTGTTGAGTGATAAGAAATTCGCTGTTACTCCGAGTATCGTGCACAAGCACTCATCAGAGGACTTCATAACGACACTCACAGTAGAATACACCACATAAATAGTCTATACTGGGTTGAAAGGTCGAGGGATTCCAGTGCTAGGTGTAATAAGCTGCGCCAAAGATTGCGCTCTTTGGGAGGTACCGATGGAAAGAAGAGGGAGAGTGAGTAAGTGATAACATTGTGGAGGTGATTTCCGCATGAACCTTGGCAGAGAGTCAATGTGCCTTGATGACTTGTGTGACATTCACATGTAGACATCCGCACGCAGACACCCAAATGCAGACATCCACATGTACACATCCATACAAGAAACAGAGTATGAAAAAAAGCATTTTTACTCCGAGTTTCACGCACTAGGGGCGCGTTCGAATTGTCACTCTTTGACTTTTCAAGGAGTTTCGTTTTTCTGAAGAGGTGGCCTTATTGGTCTCTTCAGAAAAACGAAGCTCCTCGAAACTCTTCAAAACTCCTCGAAACTCATCCGATGGGAAGCTGGATTAGTTTCGAAGAGTTTGGAATAGCTCGTCACGTAGTACGCGAAGATGGTCGATCTGATCGGACGTCATCATCGCCATGACAATTCCACTGTAAAACTCTAAAATGATAAAAGTAATGGGACACTTCAACTTATCTCTTTATAAAATTTGTTTGAACAGTTGATGAAGACGATTCGAACCCGCCCTAAGTAATGATCAGAAAACAATTATTCGACTTTTATGATTATTACTTAGTGGTGACTGCCTAGTGTGTGAAACTTGTACTGAAAACACTTTTATCATGCTCTTATTCTAGTTCTAGTTGGAACTAGATCTGCCATTCGGTATTGAGCACTCTATGGGACCAGCTTTCGGTATTGAGCACTCTATTGGACCAGCTAGATTTAGGTACCTCCACAATGTGGTCTCTGTTACCAGGTGGTCTCCTTATCCAGGGTCATTTGACTGGAAATAGCAACGCCTGGTCCTGGTCTCAGTGGTCTTTTAGGACAGGTGGTCGCCTTATCCGAGTGGTCGCCTTGACAGATTTTACTCTACCGATATTAACCGATCCAAATCACAAGACCATACTTATCTACATGTTAACAATGTCATGTACACGCTGCCATGAAACACATGATGCCGTACAGGATAGCGTACCTGTGCTCGGCAAGCTTCTAGCTCCGACAGCAATAGATCCCGATGGTCGATAAGCGATTTCAGCTTGGTTCCGGTATGCTTGGAGTTTTCATCCAGGGCGGCAGTCTCCGCAGTCAGATCACTGATCTGACGCTGCAAATTGGCTTGTAATGCATCCCGTTCCTCCTTGATATGCTGTCAGCAGAATATCACCAACATACCACATTATACTGTAAGTCGACAAAATTTCCAGCCCATTCAAATTTCGGCCTCCCAGGGCTAAAACCCATTTTGGCCACATCAAATTTTCAGCCTGTACTGCTGCTGCCTGTATACACTGTCACACTGAACCTTGAAAAACAAAATTTCGGCTGCAACAAATTTTCGGCCAACTATGATCAGGCTGGAAATAGCCGAAAATGAATATGTGCCGAATATTTGTTGACTTATAGTACCACAATAGGCCAGGTTCTCCCCATGTAAATTGTTCTGACGATCAGTGACTGGCCCGAAACGTCAATAAGTATCAACATCATCATAGAGTAGATGAATTTTTAAATGCAGCACGAGTGCAGGTTGTGAAGAGCAACTAAATAGAGTGGTTGTCAGTTGACAAACCCTCTTTTCTTCATAATGCAGCTGCATGATGTCTACAACTTTCTTAGTGGTAACACCACATGATGCCGAAAAAAAGATAGAAAGACGTTTAGACGGCCAGATGAGCAGGGGGAAGGGGGAGGAGAGGGGAGGGGGAGGAGGGGGGAAGGGGGAGGAGAGGGGGAGGGGGCAGTCAAAGGAACAGAAACATCAACCAATAGCCTGCTCACTGACGGACCATCAGCAAAGCAAACAAATGCAACAGGTGTAGATGTACGCGTCTTCACCTATTCCTCTCTCTAGCAGTCGGCTATACCTGGGTCATACCACTGCTTATAGGCAAAAGTGTCCGCTCCCCACAGTAGTTCCGCTCCCCACAGTGGGTCCGTTCTCCACAGTGGGTCCGTTCCCCACAGTGGGTCCGCTCCCCACAGTTCGTCCGCTCCCCACAGTGGGTCCGCTCCCCACAGTGGGTCAGCTCCCCACAGTGGGTCCGCTCCCCACAGTGGGTCAGCTCCCCACAGTGGGTCCGCTCCCCACAGTGGGTCAGCTCCCCACAGTGGGTGCGCTCCCCACAGTGGGTCCGCTCCCCACAGTGGGTCAGCTCCCCACTGTTTTATCTACTGCCAACACCTTTCCTATAAAATCATGGCAGAAGTCGCTACCACTATCTCATATTTCCCCATCGTAATTATACTCATAACATTACACTGAGAGTGACTTGGAAAAGGGAATGTTGAGCCAAGCCAGCTAACACAGCCAGCTAACACAGCCAGCTAACACAGCCAGCTAACACAGCCAGCTAACACAGCCAGCTAACACAGCCAGCTAGCACAGCCAGCTAACACAGCCAGCTAACACAGCCAGCTAACACAGCCGGCTAACACAGCCGGCTAACACAGTCAGCCGGCTAACATAGTCGGCTAACACAGCCGGCTAACACAGCCAGCTAACACAGCCAGCTAACACAGCCAGCTAACACAGCCAGCTAACACAGCCAGCTAACACAGCCAGCTAACACAGCCAGCTAACACAAACATGTATATAGCATGCAGGTGCACCGTGTCCTAGCATACACACAGCTGCACAATGTCCCACACAAAAGGAAACCATTAAGACCGTTCAGCAGCTTGACAAACTAGCACAAATTGATCCACAGAGGGTGGTGACGTCCCCACGGCTGCGGAAAACACGAACCGTGTATATTTGGTGTGCATATATTGAGCAAGCTGCCATAGCATGGTGTGCACATATTGAGCTAGCTCACATAGCATCACAAGCAAAACATAATAGTGACTCGGGGCAAGAGAGAGAGTGTGTGTGGGGGGGGGGGGGGGGGGGGAGGGAGTGTGTGTGTGTGGGGGGGGGGGGGGAGTGCGTGTGTGCGTGTGTTAAAGAGACAAGCTTTTGAGTGACAACTGGAGAGCAAGACTTCAAAGGTAGAGTCATGTTCTCACCTTCAGATCATGTGCCATGCCGTCTAAACTTGAACTGGCTTTCACCCAATTCCTCTGATAATCGTCGCGTTCTTCCGTAATAATGGTACTGAAATCACAGGACAAATGCACATGCATACAGGTGTAGAAGAAGGTATATACATTGTGTACTAGTACATGGACAGGCAGAGAGATTGACAGCACACACATGGGTACTAGTAGTACATGGAGAGGCAGACAGATGAGATTGACAGCACACACACGGAACACTATTACCACACAAAACGAATGTGGCCAATTCAGATTACGATCAGTCACCACCAGTACACAAAGTTCGTCCCTGATGAAGCCCCAAGGGCGAACATTTGGAGATTCCATTTCTTTTGAATAAAATTTGCAGCGTCAACGACCTTTGTGTAGGGATATCAGCGAACGCACTGCGCAGCCCATCTGCGCAGGTCAGCCTGGCCCATCTACGCGCGGCCGACAAGAAAACTCATGAACACTTTCATTTTTTTCCAAAATAAATCGTGTGAAGAAGATGCACCTAATGGCTGAAAACTAGGCTGAGGAAAAGTAGCATCCAGAGGCTCTCAAACAAATTCATGGTCCATCACTTCTGACAATGGCAGGGAAGACATCTGGGAGCTGATTGCAGCAACTCTCTACCAAGCGCGATGCTAGTTACTCACCAGGGCAGGGCGCTTCCATCGCGCAAGAAATGGCCGTGAGCGAGAAATGCAAGTCCGATTTTGGAACGATCCAACCAGGGAAATCTCTTGAAAATTGGCCTGAACACCTCTCATACTGGTGTTTCACGATGTGCAAACTTTCAGAGAAATCGACGGGGGAGAACGTGGTGAGTACGTGGGTCCTCGAGTATCGCGTATGATTTGAATGGTCGCGGGGACAGAAGAACAGTAATTTTACGACTCCCAGCCGTGCAAACAGACCGCGGCCATGTTTTCTCTGTCGGCCGCGATCACGTTCAAAACATCGATGACGCAATGCATGCGCAGAGGCCTGCGCAGTGCGTTCGCTGACATCCCTACTGGGGTGTAGTGCTGGTGACAGATCGTATTAAAAACAAATGTGGACCGAAACATTCACTAGCCTGGCCAGAACCATGCAGGCTAATAGTCTAGCTACAGGAGTGCATGTGCTGGATACCCTGGTTGTACCACCATGACATTGATGCCCTGGTTATATCACCATGGCATAGATACCCTGGTTATACCACCATGGCATAAATACCCTGGTTATATCACCATGGCATAGATACCCTGGTTATATCACCATAGCATTGATACCCTGGTTATATCACCATGGCATAGATACCCTGGTTATACCACCATGGCATAGATACCCTGGTTATATCACCATGGCATAGATACCCTGGTTATATCACCATAGCATTGATACCCTGGTTATATCACCATGGCATAGATACCCTGGTTATATCACCATGGCATTGATACCCTGGTTATATCCCCATGGCATTGATACCCTGGTTATATCCCCATGGCATTGATACCCTGGTTATATCACCATGACATAGATACCCTGGTTATATCACCATGGCATTGATACCCTGGTTATATCACCATAGCATAGATACACCGTCAGGTGCCGAATCTGCCGCTAGGGTTTGCTGGGTGTTAGTGGCCATCGTTGATGTACATGTAGCTCCTAAAGCAACTGGGGGGGGGGGGGGGGGGGGGGAGCATAGATAATACCCAAATCTCATTCGATTCATTGATTCCACATTAACCTCACAAGCCGTACACTAGGAGTAACCAATATTTTACAGAAGCAAGCTAGCCTTTCGGTACACATTTTGTCCTTTACCGCTATGATGTCATACTTCTGACAGACACTTATCATCCTTTACTGCTATGATGTCATACTTCTGACAGACACTTATCATCCTTTACTGCTATGATGTCATACTTCTGGCGGACGAGAGAGTCAAGGCGCTGACGCATCTTCAAGGATTCTTCGTTCAGCTTCTTGTGTTCAGTGGCCCAATGATTAGCTCTAGCCTGCTGCTCGGCAACATGTCCGTTGAGAACACCAAGTCTTGCCATCAGACTGCCACCGGCAGGAGTATAACAGAAGAAGACAGAATAGAAAGAAATGATTTAGGAAAATCACACACTCGCCTTGGAGATCTATTTTGTCTTTTGAAGCCATGGCATACATACTGTTGCCATACATACTGTTGCCATACATACTGTTGCCATACATACTGTTGGCTTCTAGGATGTGACCTTATGCTGCATAGTGTACATGGGTGAAGAGAAGAATGTTTTTCCAAGCAAAGTGATTCTACGAAGTGTCCATGAGTGAAGACCAGAATGTTTTTCCAAGCAAAGTGATTCTACGAAGTGTCCATGTTAGCAAACCAAGTACAGGTCACGGCAGATCTCTCTATTCGCATGTTAGTGCTTTACTACGTGAAATGATTGTATCAAGTTTTCCTAGAGAAAGGAAAGAGAGGGCTTGATTCAAGGAACGTTCACGAATTCATATCGGCAAAAAGTGTCGCAACAAGGTAATGCCAGTGCCAACTCCATTCGGTGTGTCCGCGAAAACGGAGAATGCTAAGCTGGGGTTATGCTCGAAACTCGAAAGACGGAGTACAAAAACGTGTGATCAGCAGCACTACAAGGGATGCGGGACATGCTGAGGACACACTGTGCAATGAGGACACACACTGTGCAAGGACAAACCCTTTGATCCCCCCCCCCCCCCCCCCCCCGAGCTGCAGAGAGTACTCAATGTCTTGGGACAGAGCTTAGAACATAGCAGACACAGCGGAGGACGTTCATGTGCGGCATGTGTTTATGTGTTCATGTGCGGCATGAAACTCAGAGTTACAACCAACCTGAACGTCCTCTGCTGAATCTGCTACATTGTGCAAAGATATAGACCGAGAACACAAAGACACAGGTGACTACAAAGACACAGGTGAATACAACGTCGCTGTGGCTGTGGCAGGTGGGTGCTAACCTTTTCTCTGAATCTCCAATCTGCTGGTATACAGAGAGAAGATTCTGGTGCTCGGAACGCAGCGCAGACAGACCTTGTTGATAATTGGTTAGGTCAACGAGCATTCTTTGCTTCTCCTCGGCGAGACCAGTAGATGCCTGACAGGACACAAAACACACCATTCACGTGTTATTATCATAATAATAAATTAATAATTATTATGATGAAGTTAAAACCTAGGTTCAGGTGACAAAATTTGACAAGTAATATTTGTTCTCAAGCGACCAAGCTCGGATCGCTTGTTGAGGCATCTGGCTATATCTGCACGGGCGGCGAAAAGCTTCTCGGTGAGGCAGAGATCACACCGCTTGCTTGAGCTGGAGTAAGCCCTTGTCAAAGCTCTTTTCAAACTTTGTCACCTGATCCTGACAGAATATCGCTTGGTTTATAATAATTATACTCAGAAATGGACTCGGATGGTGAGCCAAGGATTTATTCCTAAAAAATTAAGTGGACCGAGGAACTACCGTAAAAGTCCGTAAATAAGTACCTGCCCGAAAGAAATACCCCCTTCATTCTTTTGGCTCTTTCTGTTGAAGTCAAGTCAAGCCAGATAAACATACTGCCCGAAATAAGTACCGGTACGGTGCGCACATGCAGCACGTAGCATGTACATCGACATGAAAATGACTTCTCCACTACACACAAGTCAGGTCCGAAAGTTAGTTCGTGCCCGAAAGTCAGTACCCACCCGAAAGTTAGTACGGGTGTGATCACTAAATTCGAAAGTAAATACGTACTTATTTACGGACTTTTACGGTACATAGTTCCTCCGTCCACTTTTCTTTTGTATACACAGAAAAATAACACTTTCTCTCCGCAGCTAATGTTAGGCGAAGTATAGTCTCTTGTCAAGCTTTGCCACCTGATTCCACAAGAATATCACGTAGCAATGCTCAGATAA